TTGTACTTGTGTAAAAGAATTAGAAAATAGGCTAAAGTTTTAAAAATAATCTTTAAGAATCCTAATAGTATTCTAAGTAATATAATATAGGTAGTAATTTACATATCGAAAAAAGAAACGGAATGAAACCTAAGCAGGGTTTTTTCATCAGGCGTTCTTGTTTTTAACCGACTTCAAAAAAGGAGGAGGTTCTCAATTCGACTGTATTTTTTTTTTTATGTTTGTTACCTCATAACTTTTGACTGGGTGAACCGATTTTGATGATTCTTTTTTTATTGGAAAGCTGGTGCTTCCCGTTTTTATTTACAAGAATAACTAAAAAAATGGTAGAAATGGCTGTGGTTGGTAATACTATTTCATAATAATGTCTAAATGTAATGTCATAGCTGTCATTTTCGTTGTTTATTTTTATTTTATAAAGTTTATTTACACATAAGATAAGAAGTATGTCAATATTTACATCGAAATATTGATCAATAGTTGCCTAGTTAGTTTTTACTAACCATTTAGATGCAATGAAGTGGTGAAAGTGATTGGTATTTATCATCAAAATGACCAAACAAGTATACAACTATGCCTATTCGCCGCTGTTGGGCGATAATGGGTAAGTATTGTTTTTTACCATAGATTAAGCTGAACTAGCTGGACAACTACTAAATATTTTATGTAGTAGCGAAATTAATTAAAGTCTAAATGATATTGGAACATGACATTAAGTGTTCTTCAAATTGTCAAACAACTCACAATCTACTAATGTGATGTTGTTAAAACAACTTGGAAGGGTTGTATATCAAGATAACACATCATAAAAACCAAATCTTCAGATAATTTATAGACAGACGGAGCTATATTTTATTAGACCTATCGGTGCAATCAAATCTATTAAAGCAATTTAAAATTCATAAATTGACATGTCACACATGACATAACCAAGCAAGGCTTACATATTCCTCATTTTTAAATTTATTCCGTATAGTATGTATAATAAAGGTATGTGGATCAAACTTGATTAGTATTCTCCATGATGTCTTTAGCTTTCTTTGGCATGAAACTAGAGTCGAGTTACGTCTAAGTTTCTTATTACTATCTTTATTTTATTTATATAAGCACAAGAACTAACTTATACTCACATCTTTTTATCCCCAAAGGGGTACTCGTAATAAGGGGCAAGCCTGTTGCCTATAAGCACTTATATTAAAAAGTTAGTTATTGATTTACAATATAGTGTATGACCATTGTATATGCACAATATCCACTTAACAAACTAGCCAATATTACACATAGTTATACAGTTGGCGTTCCTTGGGGAGGGGAGCGGGGCTTCGTTCAGAAGTGGACAGCTTTAGGCTGATGATGATGATGACATCACATTTTTACCAGTTATCATCATCATCTTTCTGCGCCTTTCTCAATGTTATTTGGGACTAAGTTATTTAATTAGTGGCTTCTTGCTTGACACCAAACCTGATACTTTTCCTACCAGGTAAAAGAAGAATGCCATGTGGTGACTGATCAAGAATGCAAAAGTGCCACCACCCCTATACATCATGTGGGTGTTGTAAGAGCCTACTAAGGGAGTGAACTAGGCAATGCAACAGCACTGTTAAGAGTAGGAAAACTTGAAAAAAACCCTATACCAACTGGTCTGGACCATCTGGTCTGCGTGGTATAGTAGGCCAAACCCTCCTTTTGAGGAAAAGGCCTTATGTCCCGCAGTGGACTAGTAAAGGCTGTTGATGATGATTGATGAAAGGTAGAGGGAGTCAGCTAGGATCAGGAGCACAGATACGAAAGAGAGACATCAAATATCTTTATTCTTTCCAATACTTATTTATAATTTTGTATAATAACTTTAGTTATAGTACTCAATCCTACATAAACTTTTAGTCCTTTGAGTCTCATTTAGGTTGTTGCTTACTTTCTAAATTCAAATCTATAAGCATCAACATAGACAATAGTCTTAGTTTCTTAAGTGATATCTTCTCTGACAGACTGATTCACTGACTGATTGTTCAATGCACAGCTGAAATCGGTGGCTCTAGAAAACATGAAATGTTGAACAAATGTTTCATTTTTTTTTTTTATTATTTTTCTTTTTTTTTTAAAGACAACTCCCGCAGTAGGAATACATTCCTGTGTCGCGGGGGACTTTACAAACATATATGAAACGGACACAAAGAACACCCAGACTCAGAACAACAAATTGTGGATCACACAAAGTGTCGTTCCATGTGGGGTTTGAACCCACAACACTCGGCGCAGTAGGAAGCGGCGTGGCGACCGCTTAAACCACTACGCCATCCGTTCATAGGTGATGTACTACGTGATGTACTACTATGTTTCACACTTAAGGGTGCAAATGGGGGTTGGAAATTTATATAAAACTTCTTTATTTTTGGTAGTAGCATTTTTAAAGGCATAGTAAATACTCTTTATTAAAAGTAATAAAAAAAAACTACTACTTAATGATACAAGTTTGTATAGGGAACTATTTTTTGTCACTTATCGGTTTCAAACTCTCAGTACAACTATATTCCTAATCAGAGAAAAATAGACATCTATTTTTTTAACTTTTCAAAGTGTAGGTATGTTTGTTACTCATTTTGTTATTCAATTACGCCAAAACTACTTTCCAGATGTGTACGAGATTTGGCACATATTTGCCCCCTATTCCATAAAAAAAAACATAGATAAATTATAGTCTAGACTTTAGACTAGCATGAAGGCTAGTTTTTATGCCGTCCAAATTAATTGATAAAATTGACATTTACACGAGCAAAGCCATTTGCAAAAGCTAGTTATACACAAAAAATACTTTTATTGTACCTACTTATAAATAATAACTTCAATTGTGTTGGCTGGGGAAATTTACCTTGTATAATAATAACTCAAATCATAAACCACACAATAATGGGTTATACCAACATAACAATTAGGTAAATAAATACTAATTACCAAATTTTCAAAACTCGACAAAATTAATTAATAGAAATTTTATTATTATTAAGAAAGTTGCTACTCTTTTTGTTTTTTTTTTATTACTCATTTACTTTAGTGTTACTTATATAATAAGAATTGTAAAAACTAATAAAATTAAAGATCGGCTTCGCATCCAAACGCTTCTCAACAAGCGCCACCAAAATATGACTATCTAGGGTTCAAGAAAAGAGTGAACTCCAACCTCAAAGACACTTGTCTCTTGAGTTATAGGTCTCCATAGACGGCGGTAGACACTTAACATCAGGTGACCCACCAGCAGCTTTTTCCCCCATGTTATAAAAATAAAAACTCAACTGAATATTATTATTTTTGCATTTTGGCGGCACACCAAGCGCCTAGCTCTCCTCGCCCCCAGGACCGGCGCTGGGTGGAGGTCTAATCAACACCACTCCTCAATGACTTTACTATTACTTAGTACTTTCAGAATATCTACAGTATAAGTTGTGTCATAAGACAGAGGCGGTGTGAAGGGTACCACCCTTCACACCGCCTCTGTCTTATGACATATGTCAGACAACGCAAAAAAAATACTTTTCATTGAGACCTTATAATCCCAAATATTGTACCTATATATATTATAATTTTCTGAGACGTTAGCTATCCCGCAGACTACTTGATGCAGCAGTAAGTTCCAGGTTACCATATCGTGGAAATACTATCAAAGTAACAGTATACCAAATTTCAGATCAATCGAACCTGCGGATTTTAGTGAGATCCTTTAATCACCTAGGAACTGAGCTGATGATCTTCAAAATTTATAGCTAAGAACCATCTCGATCATATCGGCTTTCGAACAAAAAATCTGCCTCGAAATTGGTCCATCCGTTTGGGAGCTATGATGCCACAGACAGACACACAGGTTAACCGTATAACAACTCTCGTTTTCCTGCTGTTAGTAAGCCGCTTATAAATAAGTGGTGAGGCGAAACTCGGCGGAAGTAAATGACGGCGGAATCTACTTTTGATGGCATTACGATAATAACGCAATATGCTTAGTACGATACGATACGAATCCGGTGAAACGGGCAGCGGTACTAACGTACACCTACCGCGGTCTCTCTGGATTAGTCGCCGGTGCTGTCTAGATCGCAGTCGTTTTATGAAATAGAATTAAAAGATAATGAATTAATAATTAAACTTAATTAAGCTTTACATAAGAGGTTTAGGGTGAGCTGTGGGAATCTGATAACTCAGTTACGTCATCGTACATAATAAGATTTAACTGATTACAAATACAAAGCTTTGTCTAAATGTGAGATTGTGGTAAACCAAGATATCACAGTAATGTCTTTATGACTAACAGACGGTTAACAAAGCTACCACCTCTACTGTAATGATAAAAGTTTGTTTCCATTACCAATTTAATATTTTTTTTTATGTCATCATGACTACAATTGGTTTTAGCATTATTGTAATAATGGCCCTTCGATCTCGCACTCTCACTTCACAACATCATATTTGGGTTACGGTTATTTCCTCTAGTTGTACTTTTAACGTCCTAAACCATGTAATTTTATACGATGGCAAGCCGCCGCCATAACCAATGGACATGTGCAACACCGCCAGTGCCGCAAACGGACATTCCTCGTTCATGCTCTTCTGTAGAAAGTCTCCTAGAAAAACTAGACCAATACAATAGTTCAAGCAATCTGAACCAGATATGTATTAACGACTCATGGTAAATGAATAATGTTTACGCATGATGTAACACTATAAACTGTCGTATCGTGCGAAACAATGGAACAGCACTTAGTGGGGGGTGCTTACATCGCGTGAGTGGGCGATCTACTCGATAGCCGTGTCAGTTCATAGTGAGAGGCGCGGGCGTCGAACACCGACTTGCCGGCCTCCAAATTCAGCCATCATTCACCTTTGAACCAAAACAATCCAATTTCAACCTTATTTTGTGACTCTTAAGCCTGATTTACATAGTTTATGTTGTTGTGCAACCGAGTGATCCGATAGTTTTTTATAGTAATTCATTGTAGTGTTGTGAAAAAATGAATGAAGAAAATACAGTTTCCGATGATCTGAAGAGGCAGGCTGCAATGTTCTATAACAGCACCCAAAGGTTAGTTTTGTAGAAAAACGTGCAATTGTTTGGAACTTAAGAACGATATTGATGCCTGTGTGCCACTCTATGATTTCCTTGTGAAATTAACGTACGGTCTTACTGCATTGTATTAGAGTCGAGTTTTGTTTATTAAGAAAGTAATGTGGATGTTGTTCAATATTGCTTTGCAGCATACGTGTCGCGAAAAAATGTGCCGGAACGTTTGTAGATTTATGTGAATGATAGTCTTGCATTTTTAAGTACAGAAATAACAAGCATGAAGTTATTTCTATTAACAAATATACGATAAACGTGTTTTTACACACTTTCTCTTAAATTGCTTACATTACGTAGTAAATCATAAGTATCGATGTTTTTTCCGTGCACTTGTTTAATTTAAAAAAAATGTAATAAAACGTTACATATGCCAAAATAACATTTTTACAATTTTTGTCTGTCTGTGTGTTTGTTCCGGGTAATCTCTGTAACGGCTGGACCGATTTCGACGGGACTTTCACTGGCAGATAGCTGATGACATAAGGAGTAACTTAGGCTACTTTTTTTAGACTAGCTTCGCCCCGCGGCGTTGCTCGCGGTTATAACAACAAACGCGGGTAACACCGCGGGTCTCAGCTAGTATATAATACAATACGATTTCCTACTATGATGTTACCCGTTCAAACCTGTATTTATGAAATCATCGATTGAAAAAAATAACACAAAACACTTGTTACATAACCGAAATTAAGTTGCCCAACCCCACCCATTGTTACTTATTTACTTAACTGTCTTTCTTCTTTAACTTATACTTCGATTAAACCTTAACCTTAACCTTCGTATAAAAGGCTACACTATAGTATACTTACAAATGTTTGCCGATTCCTCAAAAGCGCGGTTTGGAATTATCAGTCTCATTCCCATACACTTTGCTTCTGATTTACTACACTCAATTATTAAATCCAAATCCAACCAAAATTAAATCGAAAAGGAGGCGCTTATGGCTCAGTGATAGATTAACTTAGATTAAAGTAGGTTAACACATTGCAAAATCAAGCAATACCAGCCAGGTCAGTCTATAGATGGGCGACCATTTCTTAAAACATTGAGACCCCTCCGTGTCTCGCTTCTATGCGAACATCTGTGGCAATCGTCAAGAATAGTTGGAGCCCTACCTAGTTTTGGAAAAAGACTCGGAGGAAGGGATTAATGTTTATCTGCTAAACATACATTTTATACTTATAATGCTTTGCAGATATAAGCAGATAGGTATAATAATGTATATATATAAGTATGCACATTTTACTGAGTAATGTTGGTAAATACAGGCAACATATGTACGTCAAAACTAGTATTCCAAGAGCCCACGATCTTTTTTAAACTGTCCTGGACAATCAAGTTTGTATCCTAATGATTTTACGAAAGATGCAATAAATTGAGATTACTATATACTTTTGTCATATGTTCATTCTAGAACGCGCTCCCACCAGACACCGTTAAAGTATATATACGGTGGTGGTGTCATATATAAATTACGTCAGTCGCATTCCAGGGTCATAAGTGTCATGGGAGTTGAGAATAACACGAGTTGCCATTTGATGCCGTTTGTTGCCATTTAATACCAGAAAATATATTTCATGTTATCAGATCACTTACTTAGACGCAGATGATAGTTTTGGTCAAATTTAATAGTTCTTGGAACATATACTGTACATAAACATATACATATACTGTATGTGGTAAAAAAATAACACTTTTTTTTCAAACCTACTTGCTTAACTGACTTCAAAAGGGATTAAGTAAATGTTGGTAAACCAATGAAATAAATATACTAAAGTATGTAATATAAGTATAAAAATTATATTCAGAACGTTCAAGTAAAGCGAAATTGATTATAGGTAGGTATTAATTCGGTAGTCGGTTTCCTTTTTAAAAGACAACTATTAATCCGAAAGGTGATTACAGTTGCAGATCAATGCAGTTTGTTTTGACTCTTCCATTGTATCTTGACAATCATGATAAGTATCGTAACTTTTAGATTTTGTTCAGATTTTCACATCAAATAAATCATAATCATTTCGTTCGATCTTTTGAAAAACTTGGAAAAAACCTTTCGCTGCTCTTTTTATTTCTAAAGGAAAAGTGTGACAGAAGTTTACCCAATGATAAAATTAAGTTACTTAATACATAAGTATTGAATAATAACTAAAAATAATTACTCAAAAAGTAATAAACCATTTCTTAGATTAGCTACACCTAATTAATAATAATTATAATATTCTACCACATTCACACAACGCCATCTAGACCCAAACTAAGCAGAGCTTGTACTATGCGTACAAGACAACTGATATAAATACATTAATACTTCTTTTTTGTAAATATATACATATTATACATAGAAATACCCAAAAAAACAAATAATGAATTACAACGTATGTTTTATTGTTGTCCATATCGTAATTTATTACAAACTATTGTTATAACCATTTGACTTTGGGAGATTTTATCTTAAAAATGCTAATTATTGAACTACCTAGCTATTGAAATACACGTAGGTATGTATATTTTAAATATGTATACAATTCCCAGTATTAGGATTCCCAGCTAGAAGCGTTCCCTCCAAAAGTATCCATAGAATATAACTATATAAAATATATATAGAGCTTCGCACATATTTAAAGTTCAGTACCAACAGAAGCCTATTACTAAGCCTACCCTGTCAGAAAGGTAAGACGACCTTTTTCATCCCTTAACCATTACATCTTTTATGTTGCCTAGAAACAGTCTCAAAAAGCAGTGTCCACATTGCTTTGCATAAAACTTCCATCTTCTGTTGCACCTTTTTAGTTCTGTTCCATGTTTTACAAGAAATGGAATGAATTGAATGTTTTTGTGTATTTTCCTAAAGTCTTTACATTTCTCTTTCTCTAGATCTTCGGTTCTAATTAAGGTATGTACTTGATTTGTTTAGATCTAGAAACACTCACTAGGACTATATCTTTGTTTGAGCTTTTGTCTACTTAAATTGATTTAGTTGGAAGTAAACTAGGTGTGATTCAACTTAAACTTTCTACTTCTTCTTTACTTTTTATTTACATTCTGCAATTATTGAAAAATGAGTAAGTTATTCTTAATGCATTTCTGAAAAGAGGTATTTAAAATGTAAAAGTATATTTTGCATAAGCTCTTACAGTCAGTTCGTTTGGATTTGGATGAATTTGTTAAATAAGTTTTTATTGTCCTATTCCCTTTTGATGTCATTTGATGGTCTACATCACATTTAAGCAATTGTAATAAAGATATTATTCTTCAAGTATCTTCAATCGCTAAAGCATGTTCACGCATTAGCGATAGATTAGTATCGTTTATCGAATTAAGCATCAGCTTCTCAAATTCATTCTACCACCACTAACTACGCTTGAATTATTACAACAACAAAAAAACCTTCACTGGTGCTGAAATGATAACATAATGTAAATGTACTATGCACATTGTTCCCTTGAAGGTCGTATGTGCAATTTACATAGGCCTTACGCGCTAATGCATGGGTGCCATTTACAAATGCTAATCATACAGATGAAATAATTATCCATGAAGTAATATACATATATAATACCCTTTTCGCAAGTGTGCAAGACAGAAGTGTTATCTGTTGATCTTTCAACTAATATTGTAAAGGTGGTGAAAAAGTTAACATTGTAGCGGCAAATATATACCGGCCCATCTAGCAACCTGCACCTGTTCGATCTGCATATAAATAATTTCAATCGGTTGTGATTTGAAGTGTTTAATCGTCAAAAAGTGTTGAAAATAAACTGTTAAAATTCAAAAGATTGCAGCGGTGTTAACCAGAACATAATAGACCGGACTTCGAACTCATTAGTGTCTATCAAGAGAGCACCACTTGCTTAACAGTATAATCTTTTAATTCGAGTTATCGGTTGTCATCACTGTGGCGCTGAGGCGTCGGGGACACGGCGGTTACCAAAAGTCGTCGGATCGGGGCTGGGTGGATTCGACTTTTTGAATTTGTTTTTCCTTTTTTGTGATTTCTTTTTGACCAATCTTTATACCTACTATAACGAACATATTGCAATACGATGAAGACCTGTGCAGTTTGTAACATTAATTTTAGCGATGGTGTGCAATGTGCGTGTTGCAACAAACACCTGGACTTCGGATGTGCGAGAATCTCTGAGGGTGGTTGGAAAAAGCTGGGAGTTGATCGAAGAGCGCAGTGGAAATGTCCTACCTGTAGAATATCATCACCAGCTATCACCTCACCTGAACCAGTCTCTATGGAAACGGTACTGTCTGAAATCAGGGACCTGAAACGTCAACTGATTGGACTGCCGTCACTGGTCGAGGATATCCACATCATAAAAAATGAATTATCCCAGGTTAAGGCAACATGCGAATGTTCAGTTCGCAAGCTTGAGGATTATGGTTCCAGATTGTCTGAGTTGGAGACAAGGGTGACCGAGCTGGAAAAGCTTCAAAATAAAGCTAATGACCTGCAGATTAATCTTGACAGGGCGAATTATCAGCTTACAGCGCTAGAACAACGGTCCCGCTTGAACAATGTCGAGATCAAGGGAGTTCCCACTAAAAAAGGTGAGAATCTGTTTACAATCCTGGATGCTATCGGCCGCAAAATCAAGTATACCTGCCAGAAAAATCAGATCAATTTTATTTCTAGGGTGCCTATTTATAACTCCAATGAAAAACTTATAATTGTTAGCTTCTTAAACAGATATGTTAAAGAAGATTTTATATCGGCTGCCCGGGCCGACAAGGAGTTGTCAACCTCGGATATTGGATTTCATGGGACCTCTCAGCGTGTGTACGTGAACGACCATCTGAGCGTTGAGCATAAGAGGCTACTTAGCACTGTCAAAGTCACTGCTAAAGAGAAAAACCATCAGTATGTGTGGGTTAAACACGGTAAAATACATTTGCTTAAAAATCAAACTTCTAAAGTTATAATCATAAGAAAGGACTCTGATTTAAACAAGATC